GACCCAGGACAGGGCTCCATCAGCCCTGACAGTGACCTGGGTGGCATGTCCATTTGGAGGACACACTTGAGAGGCCCATCCACATATATTTTGTCCTTCCCTGTCTTTCATCTGCTACCTTTTCTTGACATTTACCTTCTGTAAATCAACTTTTCTGTGTGGCCAGAATTAAACCTCTGTCATGATGACAACTTGTTATGGGAGACCTGAAAGAGAAGCTGTGTGTCACCAGCAGCAGTCCCAGTGATAACAACCACAAAAGCCACTATCAGAATAAGCACAATCCTAGTAATAATGACATGGTCCTTTTATGCTCTGTAGGGACAGACAGACCTCTCTGAAGGATGATCCAATCCACACCTTTTCTGCAGTCTCCAAAGAGGGAGCTGAAGATGTCTCTGCTCCCAATTTAGAGACATCAGTGCAGGTGGGACGAAGCCAGCTCTGACGCAGATGAACTAGATGATCTTTAAGGTCCCTTCCAACCCAGACCATTCTGTGATGATTCTATGAGGAACCCACAACAAGGAGAAGCCCAAGTGAGAAGGTTCCAGCTTGTCTGCAGGCATTAATCCATATGACTGCTGGCTGGGACAGAAGCAAGCTTTGAGAGAAAGCTGTGCCGGCACCAGTAAATAGCTCTGCTGAAAGCACTGCAGAGACCACAACATGTAATCAAGTGCATAAATAATTTGTTATACAACAGACCTCAGAAAAAACAAATCAGATGATTATTAGTAATAACTATGTATACTGCAGCATCTCATCCCTGAGGGCCCCAAAAGAGGTCAGTTGTGCTGAGCACACAACACTGTTGAAACGCAAATCTGCCAAAGCATTTGGGCATCTGAAACTGGAATAAACGAGGGCTGCACAAGTCATTTCATAAAAAAAAGTGAAAATAAGTACCAACAATATACAAGGAGCAAGAAAGTCATTTAGTGAGCGTCTTCATCAGATACACAGCACAAAGAAGGGCTCATTATTTCCCACAAACCACATCAAACCAGGCTTTTCATTTTCCTATAATAAACACCGAGCATTTCCAAAATAATTTATTTCCCCTTATGTTTTTCTCCCCATCCCTGATGCTGATGGTTCACATTCAGAGTCAGAGCAGACCATGCAGATCTGCATGCAGATCAGCTAAGACAGAACAGCTCTTTCTCTCATTTTCTCTTTGTTTTACACAGTATCAACAAATGAGATCAGTATTAGATTGCATTTACAAAATATCTCCTTCTACCCTCTCTGCTTGTTCCTGTGTCAAGAAATTTAAAGCCAGGCATTGGGAAAATAATGATTGCCTCACACTTTTCCTTTTTTTAAAAATATAAATGGCACTCCTGTGTCATTTTTACTTCTAAATTTACATCAAAATTATGGATTCAGGGAACTACAGAGCCAAACAGCAGAGCATCAAAAATGTAACTGTAAGACTCTTGCTGCTGTGTATTTGGAGGAGAAATAAATCAACTTCTTCATCTCAGCAAAGCCACGTGGAAAGAAAATAAGGGTCTACTTACACTGTACAATGAGCTGTACCAAAGCCTCTCTGGGTTTGACATTGAACCCGTTGTACTGGCTGGTCTGGCACCTGTAGGTTCCTGTCATCTCCCTGGACACGTTCACAATCCTCAGGATCCCATCGTAGCTCTCCGTCTGCATCGCCCCGTCCGGCATCGCCACCTCCTTGTCTGCTCGGGACCACAGAATGATGGGCTTGGGCTTCCCTGTCACCTGGCACTGCAGCTCGATCGTGTCCCCTTCCCGGGTCACCAGGGGTGACTTTTCTTGAGGGACAGTCAAATTGGGCGGGACTGAGAAAAAGAGACAGTTCAGCAATTAGCATCACAGAGACATCAAGTGGCTTCTTGCTTGTACAGTCACAACTCTACGCGAAGAATCCGGTTCCATGTAGCAATGCTCAGTGGCTACACATACTGGAGGGCCCTGGAATGCTCCTAGATTTATGAGACAAAGTGTTCAACTGCTTGAAGTGGTTAAAATAAGATTTAACAGCCCCGGCCATGACACTCATTTGCCTCCCTGTGCATCTCTGATGTGCACATTTGGACCCCCAGCCCCAGCTAGCACTCTGTCACTGTAAGTTATCGCCTCTCTTTTTATGAGCATTTGGCACTAAACCCCCTTTTTTATAACACACTGGTTGCTGATTTTATCCAGCTTGTAATGGTTGTGCAATAAGGAAGAATCCTGCCAATGCAGAAACCAGCTCAGAATGCAAGACCTGAAACCAAAATGTAGTTGGTGTCTTTCTGGCACGGCAGGTTTGTCACAGGGGTAGGTTTTTTCATAGAAATTTGCATTAGAAAATCCTGAAGTGAATAAGCATTTCCAGCAGGAGTTAGACAGCCCCTTGGAGCAGGAGGACATGGCACTGCCACAGAGCCAGCTGGTCATACCCAAGGACACATCCTTCCTCTTCTCCACAGTATTGCAAGAGCGAAACTTTCTAATTGCCCCCAGTGCCTCTCTGAGTTATCAGCCCTTGGTGGGGAGGAGAAGAGTGAGGCTGCCATGGAAGAGACATGGCTGCCCAAGGTGCTTGATCAGGACAGAAGTAATCATAGAACCACAGACTGGTTTGGGTTAGAGAGGACCATAAAGATCATCCAGTCCCACCCCCTGCATGGGCAGGGACACCTCCCACCAGCCCAGGCTGCTCCAAGCCCCATCCAACCTGCCCTTCAACACTGCCAGGGATGGGGCAGCCACAGCTTCTCTGGGCAACCTGGGCCAGGCTCTCACCACCCTCACAGCCAAGAATTTCCTCCTCTGTCTCATCTCAGTCTCCCCCCTTTCAGCTTGAAACAATTCCCCTCAACCCATCCCTCCCTGCCCTTGTCCCAAGTCCCTCCCCAGCTTTCCTGGAGCCCCTTCAGGCACTGGAAGCTGCTCTAAGGTCTCCCTGGAGCCTTCTCTTCTCCAGGCTGA